ACAATCAACAGAGATATCTTCAATATTCTTGACTCACAAATGTTTCACTTGATATAAAGGACCTTTATATACTTCAAGTACAATAATTCCCTTTAAGAGAGAGATGCAATAAAGCATTAATATGCTAGATTTAGCTGCCTCATAGCTTAGTGGTAGAAACTCTGACTGATACCAAACCAATTGGGTTTCAATTCTGGCTTGAGACATTCAGTTGTCTAGTCACACTGAAGAGCTGTGATACAGCGAAACATTACTGTCTGCAAATGACATAATTTAACTCTTGAAAATATATTTCAATTGAGCACTGTTGAATGACAAGCTAATTCTACAAACAACAGCCACCTGCGTTAATGCAAAGCTCTTCAGTAAAAATGAATGGAGCACTTCGGCATGGTTTACATTTGTAAAAACAATATGCTAGATTTAGCTGCCTCATTCTGTTGAATGAAGATAGCTCAGTGGTAGAAACTCTGACTGATACCAAATCAGTTGGGTTTCAATTCTGGCTTGAGACATTCATTTGTCTAGTCGCACTGAAGAGCTGTGATACAGCAAAACAGTACTACCACATGAGATTGAAACTTGAAAATAGCAAAATGAAGGAACAAATATATCTAGTAAAAATCAACAAAGAAAATTGAACAAGAAATAATACTTCTATTCAGAATCAGGAAGAGATAGCTGAAATTCCTTGGACACCTATTGAAGAAGGAAGGTTTAGAAAACTTAACCCACACAAAACATATTGAGGGCAAGAGAGATAGGGGTAGACAGCAAGCCACTTACCTGATGAGCCTGTGCAAATGGATATATATATATATATATATATATATGTATATATATATTTGAATAATGGATTGAGCTTGGGTTGAGGAATCGGAGAGCAGAGTTCAAATTCCAGTCAAGTTTATTACATTCACTTACATGCAAACAATCTTAGGAAAAGTATCCATCTCTTCTCCCCCCAGCTATGGATAAAGAGCAGGACACACTGGGTCCTATAGCTTTGGGTGACAACTGGTCTAGAAGAAGGATGAATCTGAATTCAAAACCTGAGGAGGGTCATTTGAGGAACTTGTGGCACACACTGTTCCCCACCAGTTCTTGTATTTGAAATATTCTGCACAAACCTTCAGCACTATAAGCAAATCACATGTGCAAGTAGTCTGGCTGTTCAGTTCTCAGAACTGTGTTACTGTACCCACATACATAAAAAATGATGGGAGAGTTCAATATATATATATATATATATATATATATATATATATATATCGATTGTCTTTCAATATAGTCAACTTTTTAACATTTGAGTATAGTATTAATAAGTACTTTAATATCGGAAAAACACCTGACTGAGTATTTGGATAAATAGTAGAAATAGAAATTGAAGAATTAATTTCATTATTTCCACTGTCTTTGAATTTGGGAACAAAATGAAACTGATGTGAATGAGTCAATTCAACCCCTGTTTTAAGAATCACATAACAAATTTTGCAGTCACAGCTGCAAATTATATCTGTAACTAAATTCAAAAGAAATAAAAACTTCCTCAATAAGATTACAGTCAGTTATAAAGAATCTGGCATTATTACAAGAAATATGAGAAGGCATGCCATATATATTGGTAAATTTAAGTAAATCTCAAGCAAAGGAATTGGGTACTCATGTCCTTAATTCAATGTCTATTGTACTAATGTTAAAAAAAAGGAAAATATAAATATGTACATTTCTTTTTTAATTCTTTCCTTACTTTTTAGCCTATTATGACCAGATAATTAATTCTTATGATTAAAGCATTTGATAAAATTCATTATATTTACAGTAGAATTGTAGCTTAAATATATTTAAGTGCTAAGTTATTCAATTCTTGACATACTATACACTGAGAAAATACATTTTTTGGCTTGCCTGTCTTGTTTTAAGTATCTAAAAACCAGAATGACATAATTTGTTTCAAGTAGACTGAGTGCTTAAATATTTACATCTTTTATGACAAGATTTTTTAAATCATGATCTTTGTCTAACAAAACAGGATTTATCATTTTATATTCATACACAAGGTTTTTACATATTCTACCTTGGGTTCTGAGTAGAAAAATAGGTGGTCAAAAAGTGGCACAGTAATATTAGAATTAAGTAATTTTTTTTTTACAAAATTATATGATCACTTATGATTAAGAAATATCTATGCATTATAAAATTAAAATAAGAATTATACACAAATACAGTGTTTTATTTTGTTATTCAAAGTTAAAAGTTTGAACACTTTTTTGTATCTTGCTGGTATCATCTGGACAGGATGCACCACATGCTGGCCAGATCAGACAGCCAATGTCTACAAGGGTTAATGCTCTAGGTTTGTAGGTATAGTGACATAGCCATGTTTGTCTGGCAACATCTTATCTAATGGCATTAAGAAAAACTTAAATGCATGTGTGTTTATTGTATTAGATTCATTGTTGTTTTGAATTTGTAATAAACCTAATATCAAAGAAGAAGTGTGTGAGAGGTGACAGCAGCTAGAAAAAAGTTTAGAAATCTCTGAGTTACAGTGTGATGTAATAAAACAATTGTACAATAGTTTTGTTTTTAGAACATAAGCAATTAGGGCCACTTATAAGCCACACTATTTGATTTTTACTGGGCCATTCTGGACCAGAGATTTAAAAACTGAAATTTAACGAGAATTTTTTTCCAAAGTTAAGCAAGTGATCAAGTCAGCAGAACTTTGTAAAGAGAGAACATCTCTAAGTATTATAGGTATGGAATACAATTTTATTAAATTTTCAATTTTATTTTTAACAAACAGATCTTTGGCTTTAATGTTATCAGACATTAACCAAGATAAAACAATATAATAAGGCTATTAAGTTGAAAACAAAATATGTTCAACAAAGAGAATAAATATTTAATTTGCTAAAAAAGAGAGCTACTAATTTAAGAGTTAGTACACTCTTTGTTTTCATTGGAGTTACCCTCAGTAAAAGTAGATTAGAAATATTTTTCACATTATGCAGCAAAACCATAAGCCTTTCTAGAGAGAGACTTCACAAAATAAATAGAATGTGAACTTCATTGAAAACATATCTAAGGAATAGCAAAAAAACCAAGATTGGCTCGATCATTTGTCAAAACAGACCAAATACTAACCTTCTTCAGATATGATATCATTCAAATTCAATTTTCTAGACTCTACAGATTTTAAAAGTATTTTATGTCTTACAGTAACAGGTAGCAGTCTGAGATAATATACCTCTCTTAATTTTAAAAAACATCAACTTTAATAGAAGACACTGAAATTTTTAAAATGTCTTTTTCCAATTCACAAATATGTACAACAAAATAAAAATTTTTGTTCTTTATTTATGTACTATTTGTATTCTACAACCTAACATAAAAATCAAATCATTTTGAATATAAATGTCAGCCTCTTTATACAGAGTTGATAATTTGTCAACAAAAATTGCTAGTTTTTTTATTAAATTTATGAAATTAATCACAGTACTAGATTGGTAACTAAGTCTCATCATTTTACAGTTGAAATTGCAAGATGTAACCATAAGTTCTATGCTAACAATTTATTCTCTCGCACTTCTCTCTTGTGGAACACTCTTCTGATTGCTTGCTTTTCATTCAACTTTGCTATATCAATTGTTATCATCTGTCTTCTTAATTCCTGTTCTTTTATTGTTCTCTCCTTAATAATGTTTTTATTTTTCTCATATTCTTTCGCACTCAGTAACCCCTTGCATCTCTTTGTGGCTTTATTTATAAAAATAATTACCAACATAAAAATTCTTCCTTAATATTTCAGTACAATTATCATCAGGGAAGTTATAATGTTTAAATACAAAATTCGAAATGAAAGGAATAGGAGTAGATAGGTTTGCCTATCATCTGGTTCACATTTCTCCCAAGTCTTTTGAACAGGAGAAGTGGTTTATCCATTGTTTCTTGTTTAGAATTAGATTTCTGTCTCCTTCTAATGTCTTCTCCTCCTCTTTCATTCTCAGTAGCCCTTAGTGGCATTATTGCCTTGCTTCGAGTGAATTGATTAAAAAAATTTCAAATTAAGCTCAAATTGTTTGATTGGATTTTCTACAGACAAACAAATAAATATTATAATTGATTAATAAGCATGGAGTCTACAATTTAATCTTTAGGTTATATATTTTGCCTGTTTAGAAAATCTATGTAATTATTTGTGCACCCCTATCTTTGGGCTATGAAATTCTGAAAATAAAAAAATCTCAAGTGTATAGTATGCACTGACTTTTTAGAATTTTAAAAATTTGTTCAACTTTTCATCCAATGTGTATTAACGAAAAAAAAGAATTTCTATATCTTACATTATGTTTTTGAACACACTCTTTATATAGTATTTATAGTAAACAGTCAGAGCTTTCAACTCTATGTACATGGATATTGGAAGCCCGGCAAAGCATCCCTAAAGCCATCATGACTATGACATTAAAAAAGAAAAAAAAAGAATTTGCATCACAAACACACTGAACAAGAGTGAAAAAAGACACTCTATTTAAGAAAGACGGGCAAAATGACTGTCAACAAAGACATCTACTAAGTTGACAACACACATGAAACTGTCATAGTTTGAGCCATAGATAAAACTTACTTTTGGTCATACTTTTGCTGAAAACAAAATGTTATTTAGTTCTCATATATAAAAAAAAAAGTATGGTAAAAAGTATGTATTATACACAAATAATTACAGTATTTTATTCTTTTTATTTTTAACAGGACTTATAAAATAATAAAAGACAGAAATAACTCAGAAATGAGCTAGAGCAAATCAGTTTCATCAACTTTTGCAAATTTGATTTAAAGTTATTTTAAATTTTGTTTTCTACTTAAAAATTATCTATACTAATATTCTATTTATTTGTATGCATCATTGTTACACTTTTCTATTGAAGATCAGAGTTTAGTATCTACTCTGGTCTTTTAGAGCTTGAATTATGTATGCTTTATGACTGAGAAACCTACATAATATTAAATAGGAGAAGGAGGAATGAAAGTGAAAGAGAATAAGAGGGAGGAGAAAGGAAAGTGTGGGAGAGAAGAAAAGGGAGGAGGAAGGAAAGTGGGAGAGAAGAAAAGGGAAGAGAAAGTAAAGCAGGGAAAGAAGTAAAGGGAAGGGAAGTGGGAGAGAAGAAACAGGAGGAGGAAGGAAAGTGGGAGAGAAGAAAAGGGAGAGGAAGAAAAATGGGAGAGAATAAAAAGGAGGGGAAGGAAAGTGGTAGAGAATAAAAGGGAGGGAAAGGAAAGTGGTAGAGAATAAAAGGGAGGGAAAGGAAAGTGGTAGAGAATAAAAGGGAGGGGAAGGAAAGTGGTAGAGAATAAAAGGGAGGGAAAGGAAAGTGGGAGAGAATAAAAGGGAGGGAAAGGAAAGTGGGAGAGAGGAAAAGAGGTAAATCATGCAAAGTTGAAAAGGTAGGCAGTAAGAAAACTAGAGAAAAATGAAAAGAAAACCAAGTGAAAGAAAATATATAAATATGTGTGTGTGTGTGTGTGTGTGTGTGTGTGTGTGTGTGTGTGTGTGTGTGTGTGAAGACAGAGAGATTGAGGGAGAGGGGAAGGGGTGATAGATAAAAACAAAGATAATCCTGCTGTTGGAAGAATATCAAAAGATAATAAACGAAAGATCAAAAGACAAGTATCGTAATGTCTCACTGCTCTTTTTTTTTTTTTTTCAGCATGGCTGACAATCTATTTCTTGTGACCTTGCCCATTTGTTGTAGTATCTCGCTTCTGTAAAAGCTTTTTTATGTGACCTTAAATTGAATAATTCACTATGTCATTTATTAAGATATTTGATTATGGTTATAAAATATAAATACTACTTCTGTCCTTGTAATATAGTTTGTAATCTCAAGTAATTTGATATTTTTTATTATGACTAGAAATTGTTACAAAACTCATCGTATGTTGCAACACCCCTTATACAATAAAACCAGCAGCCAAAAATCATCACTTCAAAGGATAGGTTTTCTACTCACTTGTCAACCTCGGGCAGAGAGGAACCCAGACGAGACCCTGCCCTTTGGCATAGTCTCATCTGGGTGGATAGACAGAAACCTGACCTGGTAAAGGTCTATGGTGAATTTTTGCCTGAGCCTACAGGTTGGGAATGTCCCATGTAAAAAAACAGCATTGTGCCACATCCTGCTATCTATGCTATATGGTAAAGCTATTTGCACGGTTGATGCACTTTTAACTAGTAAGAGGACTTTGGGTGGTTTAGTGACCTTATTCTTCAGGACAATATGATGCCGTCTTCCCACATCGTTGATAGGAATCTTTAAAGGCTCCTATTACAATTTCCTGTACAAGGACTTACTACAGCCAATTAAAAGTATTGATTCAGGCAGGCACCAATCACATTTCATTAAGACGTCTGGTCAGCCAGCATACTTCCATCCTCGATGACTGCCACCACATAAATTACAGTTTGCTAAGGAAGTGTTCGACGAGATGTTGCGTGATGGCATCATCCTTCCTTCAGATAGCTCATACATCTCACCACTCCATTTAGTGCCTAAACCAAATGGCTCTGACTTTCAGATTTGTGTGGACTACAGGAGGCTCAACACCTTAACTATTCCTGATAGCTATCCTGTCCTGCATATCCACAATTTCATGTCTAGATTACAGGGTGCTACCATTTTCTCTAAAATTGACCTGAAAAAGGTTTATTATCAGGTCCCTGTTACACCAGAAGATATCCCAATAACGGGAGTCACAACAACTTTCAGTTTAGATGAATTGGTAAAAATGCAATTCAGTTTGCATAATGCAGCTCAAATTTTTCAAATGAGTGGCCTACCTTTTCACCTGTTCACATACATTGATGATATCCTTATAGCCAGTGGGGAGAGTACCTCACATAAACACCACCTACATGAGGCTCTGCAGCAATTATCACATTACAGTTTCAGATTGAATCTGGATAAATGAGTTTTCGATTCCACTTCACATTGACTTTCTTAGACATAACACTGATGCTACTGGAATCGCCCCATTACCTTAATAATTTCCCAGTACCTGTGTCCATTAAGCAGTTGCACCATTTCATAGGAATGGTCAATTTTTACCGAAAATTCATTCCTAATTGTTCTTCTCTTTTAACTCCTTTGACAAACCTCCTTCAGAGGAAGAATAAGAGTATTTCCTTGGAGAGTGACACTCTGCTTGCATTTTATGCAACTAAAACTGCCTTAGCAAACTTTACCAAACTGTCGTTTATTGAAAACAATCCACAGTGATATGCCTGACTACGGATGCTTTGGAATCAGGGGTTGACACTGCAGTTGAACAAGAATTAAATTATCAATGCAAACCTATCATGTTTTTCTCTTTAAAACTTTCCCAAGCTCAATCATGATATAGCATATTCTCTCGTGAGTTATTAGCCATTTATTTGGCCATCAAACATTTTCGATACTTGTTGGAAGGTTGGCCTTTCACAATCTTTACAGACCATGAACCCTTAACTTTAATCATGTATAATAATTCAGACCAAATATACTTCTTGTGAGATCAAACACTTGGATTACATATCTCAGTTCACTACTGATCTTTGCTATGTAAAAGGGAAATACAATGCAGTCATGGATACACTTTCGCAAAATGAACTTTATGTCCTGGACACTGATACTCTGAACTAGTATTTGATAGCAGATGAACAAAAATCCGACTCCACTCTAAACAATAGACACTTCCCTGAACCTTCAGTTCCCAGCTTCTTTCAGCAACAAAACATTATACTATGACACCAAATTAAGTTATCTTAAGCCATATGTCCTTCTATCACTGAGGAAGCTAGAATTTGAACACCTACATGGGTTGTCCCACCTTAGTAAACAGGTTACTGTCAATCTCATTGCAGACCATTTTGTGTGGTCTAATATGAATTTGGACGTCTGAGATTGGGTTGCCACTTGTTTGATATGCCAGAAATGCAAGGCACACAGCATACTAAATCTCCAATTAGTACCTTTAGCAACTCTGACACTCGTTTTCCCCACATTCATCTCGGCATAGTCGGGCCTCTGCCTATGTGTCAGGGTTATCATTATATTCTGACCACTGTGGACTGTTTTTTTTCATTGGCCCATGGCTATACCCATTAAGGACACCTTGGCCACCACTGTCTGAGTGAATCACAATATTCGGTACATTTCAAGTGATTACAACAGACCAAAGTTCCCAATTTCAGTCATCTCTTTTTAGAGAATTTACCCACCTACTCAAGGCAAAGCATGTTTATATGACAGCTTATCATCCATGTGCTAATGGACTTATGGAGAGATTTCACTGATCGCTAAAGACTTCCCTATCTACAAGGCACTACGCCACTAAATGGGTCAGTGATATCCCTCTTATTCTTCTTTCATTGAGGACTACACTAAAAGAAGATTTGAGTTGTTTAATGGCAGAACTTGTATTTGCTACACCTCTTTCTCTGCCTGGGTAATATTTTTCTGCAACTACAAATCTGACTCCAGTGTCTGTCTTTATTCAGGAACTGCACCAAAAGATGGCTAACCTGAATTATACTCCTTCACATCAACGTCCAACAGACATTTACATCCCTCAAAGGCTGCAAAAATGCAAATTTGTATTCTAAGAAATGATGTCATCAAGCAACAGCTTACATCCTCGTATTTAGGACCTTTCCCAATCACCAATCATTTTGACAAGCATCTAACAATAAAACGGGGTGATTGCACTGATATATTCTCACTTGGCCGTGTTAAACCAGCTTTCCTGGACTCCACACCTTCTGAGAGAAGAGTTACTAATTATAAGTATTACATCTATTATTAAATGATATGATCAATTATCTTGGAGAAGGACCTTATTGTAGTGTCTCGCTACTCTGTGTTTTTCATCATGGTTGACAAACTATTTTTCATGACTTCGCTTATTAGTCATAGCGTCCTGCTTCTATAAAACCTTTTTTATGCAACCTCAAACAGTTATTTAAATTTAATAATTCACTACATCATTGTTTAAGATATTTGATTATGATTACATAATGTAAATACTACTTCTGTCCTTGTTGTAGTAGAGTTTGTAATCTTGAGTAATTTGATTTTTTTTTATTATGACTTGAATTTGTAATGAAACACATTGCATGTTGTAACACCACTTATACCATAAAACCAGCAGCCAAAAATTGCCTCTTCAGAGACTAGGTTTTCTCTCTATGCTATATGATGCACTTTTAGCTAGCGGGAGGACTTTAGGTTGTTTTGCGACCCTGTTCTTCAGGACAGTATGATGCCATCTTCCCATATACTGGATAAGAATCTTTAAAGGTTTCTATTATTTTTTATTTTGCTGGGTAACTGTGTGAGTCACTGCCTTTAGAAGTAGGTCATCTCTAACCAATAGTCCAAAAGGTTGATGTGAGATCCTGTACAGTGGTCAAACCATATGTGGTCTGCTTGATTACGGGTACAGCCTATTATCATAGTGTATGTGCTAACTCATGCAGTGAGAATCCTTTTCAGGAGTAAAAGTCTGTCTTTACCCTGATTACATGGTATGCAATTACCATTTATCCTTTTATGGGCAAATTAAGTTCTTCTCCCTGACTGCATGGGCCAGTGCACAACATCTCGTTCAGGTATGTTCAGCGCTTGTTAACGGTTCCTGTACCGACAGTGAATGACCACTTGTTCTGGGATTTTTTTTTATTTTTGTCTAGGGCCTTGATATCTTCTGCATACAACCACCCATTTCTGGTATCTACTATGCATAACAGTCATTCCTGTTGCATACCAATCTTCTCCTGTGTTGATCAGCATCTTATACACAAAGCAATCATCCTTGTCATAGACCATTCTTTTCCAGAGCACAGCAGTATTTTTCTGCACATGTCAACTGACTCAGTTCACCTACTTTGAATATCAACTGCTCCAGCTACTTTCTGTGCATGTCAACTGACTCAGTTTGCTTTCTTCAAGCATCAACTGTTCCAGTTATCATCTACTTTTGTCAACTGAGTCGGCATAATCTTCTGCCCATCAAACAGTTCCAGATATTTGTTTTGCGCATATCAACTCTTCCAGTCAATATATATACATATATCATCCTATCAGTCTATCTCCTGTGTATACAATACTGACTTTGTGTAATATACCAATCATTGCAGTTTTCTTGTCAGTGGTGCTACATTAACGTTTTTTTCCAATCAATTTTCGCACATGACAAATAAACATTTCTCATGACTAGAATTTGAGTTCCCAACCACACTTTTTCAACTGATTGCTCTGGAACTCTTTTCAACATAAAAATTTTGCATGTTTTGTATTTGCCAAGAATAAATTTTGGCATATTTTAATTGAATTCCTTGTTTTTGTGGTATTTGCCTTTGACCTGTCAGATCATTGTGTTTATTTTTAAATGTTAGCGGGTCCATCTGATTAAACCAACCAGACTCGTGTGCCTCCCGGCTACATAGGTAAAGATGGAAAAGTTTGAAGTATTCTGATATATGAAAATTCTTTAAGGAGATATAGAGTAAAAGAAAGATAAAAGAAAAGGTAATAAATATACTTTTTTCACATATGAATGATTGATAAAAATCCCCCACCAAAATTCATAGACAAATCATACGGAAGCATGCTGGGATTTCTTCCTAACCAATAAAAATGAACCACTTCTCAGTATCATTCACCATATTTTTGTTCTTTCTTGTCTAAAAGTCAGAATATTACAACCATTTAACTGTATCTTTTTTACATGTGAACACCATTCTTACTATTTACACAATTTACATTGTTTGAACTGTTGATGTCATCTTTATTGTCACATTCACAACATTTCATCTTTTGTATGCTCCAACGTTTGACAAGATTGGGAACTGATCTGCTTTTAAAAGTTAATCCCTATCAATCAACTGTCTTCCTTTCCATCTCTCAATGGTCATATAAATATCATGTATTTCTTTCTGGGAGGTCCTTGGACCTCCAGAATAGCCTATCAAAAAGAAACAACCACTTTTATATAAAAAGATTAATCACAGATAACAATGTATTTAATTTGTTCTGCATGAAGACTAATAAGCTGTTTCATCAAATCTGGATCTGAAACATTAATGGCAAAATGTTTGATTTAATATTCACCACTGAATTAAAAGCATTTACAAAAAAGAAATTTATATTTTTCATAAAAAAAATAAATAAAAAGTTTTACATACGGTCCTTCAAATTTCCACTTGACCCATTGTCCATTTGTAAATTTATATTCGTATAAATCATTTTTATTAGTCAAGTTTGAATTGGAATGAATGTCACCAGTGTAACCACCTAAAATAAAGAGATAAGAAAATGACTATGACTTTTGCTTAATTTCCGTGATTGAAGAGAAACTGATGCATTAAATTTAAGTTGCCAGATTTGCTAAAGAGACATACAGAACACAGTTTCAAATGATTTCTATTAAAATTTTCAGTATATAAGTTTGTCTCAGGTTGTAATATTAATTATCTCAAATTGTAGGTACACCATATAATATTGCAGCCATAGCAGCATTTTTGTATGTCTAAAGCAAGATACCGTGATAGGGCCTATTGCACTTCAGGCTGCAATTTACATATATATAGATAAATTAGAAATCTTTTTAATTTAAATTTGAACTCTGTGTCCTGTACTTCGTATGACAGATCTGACAACCATATACAGAACGTATTATTAACTGTAATATACAAGGCTGGATCAATAAGTCGGTAGCCTAATATTTGATGGCATATAAGATGTACTTTTCGCATAAACAAAATCACCTTGCATTGTATATGCACAGTTGAAGTCTCTTATAGCCTTTCATTTTATCACCAACGTCCATTACAATAGGCTATAAATTTACCTCAGACAGTTATTTCCACCTATATCACCCCCAAAGTATTATGTACTCAAGCAAGATTATTATTATTGGTACTGTAAAAGGAATTACTATTATAGAGTACTAGCAACATTCATCAGTACCAGTTGATCCATCATACCTAGATATGCTTTAATACATTCTTATCATTAACCAGCTGGAAAGTATAGAAGAAAGAGACATAACTGAAAGCAAATACCAGTAATGGTAAAACACTAACCTGGTATAGATAACATTAAAGCCAGAATGAAATAGGACATATTTCATATGAAACAGACAAAGAAGAATTTATGGTATTTTCACTATTATCTTGCTTTATGTTCAGGTCTACTTCTAGCTTGCTTTTTATATACAGTAATGCTTTCTACTAGCATAAAGTGTTGATGTAATGTCTACTATATGTCAAACCGGCCTGAATGTCTGAGAAATTTTCATAGAAAATATAAACATAAAAATGTCTTAAAATAATTGTCATTTGTTTGTTTCGTGCTAACCGAACGATCATCTGTGGCTCAATCGGTTAGGGCACGTCAGGCTATATGACGGTTCCGTATAGGATACAGGTTCAATTCCTGTTGGAGGACAAATATTTTCTATGAAAATTTCTCGAACATTCAGGCCAGTAAATGTTATAAATACTGTTTATTATAAAAACAGAGCATTTAATTAAATATTTGTATCTATAAAAAGAATGTATAAACATAAAAATGTCTTAAAATAATTGTCAGACTTTGTCCATTTCATAATATCTCATTATGTAGTTAACTGCTAATAGAAATAATTTAGTGGTTGGACAAAATATAGAAATTAAAATCTGCTTTACAGATATGAGGGTGAATCAATAAGTCTACAGCCTGACAAATTTATTAGTTGAATTTTGAGTTGTTTCTTGCAGTTATCTAATGGTCCTGAGTTCAAATGTTGAATTTAAGAGTGACACACCAATTCAGCAGAATTACTCATCACAGAAATGAAATACTGAATTAGTTAAACTTTGATCTGAACTTTTTACTACATAATGTTCAATCTACTTGATTAACATTAACCACTGAATTAAGTACATCAGCAAGGAAGGAGATTACATTAAAAATATAAAATATTTGTTGTATAAAATAAATTCCATTTTTATGATTGAGCTACAGACTTATTGATGTACCTATGTCCATCCAAAATCTTCTGTTGATTTACACTGAAATGAAAAGATTTTGGATGCTGCATAAACTTAATCTGAAGCCAGCCTCTTTACTGTCTGGAACTGCAAAAGCATTTTCTAAAGAAATGCTTACCAAAGATAAACATGCTCTGGTCGTAAACAACAGTTGAGTGATGATATCGTGGCAGGGGTGGAGTTCCTGTAGTGAATGCTCTGCAACAACAACAGCAAATTGTGTTTGAAAAAGGCAACAAAAATGTTTAGCTAAAAAAGACTGCAAATATTAGGAAACATGCCAATTAGATAATTTAAAAATAACAGCAAAAATGTCATTTCAAAAGGGAGTGTATTCAGTAAGAATTAATCTCCATTTAGATTAATTTGATAAAAGGTAAGCTGCTGGAAAATAAAATGGGGGAAGATTGTGTTGCTCCAATCTTCAAAATGGGGAGGACCTACCTTCTATGAAACGTAGTATTTCAAATCTTAACATTTTATCTGAGTTTTAACACAAACCAATAACATCAGTGGAAAATACACAAATCAACCCCAAGAAATTCCACCTTCACTAGCCTTTCTTGTTTGCAAATCAAAATATATTATCTAAAGTATGCTTTTACTATTATCCGCCATTTTAGAAAATCTACATATATTATGTTTGATATAAATTGTATCTCAAAGATTTTATAAATATAATAATCAGAGGCAATAGTATGAGATAAAAAGTCTAAAAAATAAAATACAAATTATTAATATTTTTTTAATAATTTCATCCCAATAAAAGACATTTACTGAGTGTGAAAAAATATGAGAAAAAGAAAACATTATTAAGGAATGAGAAAAATAAAAGAATTGAAATTAAAAAGGCAGAAGATAACAACTCATATTGCATTTAATTTTTTTTTAAAGATCAAAGCTGATTGGAAAGCAAGAAGCCAGAAGAGAGTTCCACAAGTAAAAAGTGCAAAAGAAGAAACTGTTAGTATAGAACTTACACTTACATCTGACCATTTCAACTTTAAAATGATGAGACCTAGCTGCCAATCTAGTACTGTGTTTGAATTTTTAAAGTCTAGATACCAAAGAGGAAAATTCATCAGAACAATTACTTGAAAATACTTATAGAAAAGGCACAGGGAAGCTACATTATGGTGGTGGGAAAGTGACTGAAGCCAAGATGCCAGGTTAGAACCAATAACATTGCAGATATTTTGGATTTTATCAAGAATCTCTAAATACATAGTAGAAGCATCAGACCAGATGTGACAGCAATATTCAATGGATGGATGAATGATAGACTCATAAATGTGTAAGACAGTGGCAAGAAAAACTGTCTAGCACAACACAGTGAACCAATTTTCCTTCAAGAAGAACTAACAATTGATTTAATATAATCACTCTACTTCATGCCAGTGGAAAACATGAACCCAAGAAGGTACAATGAGTTGCTCTACTGGAGGTAAATTTCAGCCATACTGATGGATGGCAAAAATTGTTCTCAATAATGATTAAAAGATTTTTGACAAATGAATATAAGAGCTGACTACAGAACTGAATACTGTTTGATGAGAGATTCATAGAATAGTGGTTTTGCAATAGTCAGTTCTTGCCACTTTTACACCGAGAACTGTTGGGTAATATGCAATCACTTCATTACCCATATATAGAGATTAGTGACAAATTTGTCATAAATGTAATTAGTGGACTAGAAAGAAACACCAGAGATGACATAATTACTAAGGTCTTCTACCAAGAGTCCATCAAAGTCAAATGTATGTTCCCTTCAAGTAAACTTTACATGAAGTTCTCATACCATTCCAAAATGTATGATCACTTCCCTGCACAGATTTTCTTCATTAGGTTGGATTCTGCTGCAAGGTCTAACGTTAAATTCATTTCATGATTCTTAAATAGAAAGACTACAAGGGTCTTCATAATATCAACTGTTTTACTGGTTTGCCCTTGTGTACATATACAAAGGTAACTCCAAGTTATTTTTCTATGAGAGTGATCACTTCTTCATCCACTTCCACTCCTCATACCTGAAAGTTCTATAGTGAGGTATAGGTGTGGTGGCCTGGATTAGTATAATGATGCTGTTCTACCTAAAATTATGCTGGAACCCAGGGTCATCATTTGATGAGGGTTTGTTGGACTGTTGTTGTTGTTACAGTTGTCATATGAGAAGTTGCTGAAAAATTCTTGACCTAACTCACTTCCCAAAATCCTTGGCCTAATTCACTTCCATGATCCTTCTGCTTCCTCCATCCTCTCAGCACCTTTTCTGAAACTCCAAACTCTCTTTCTATGGATCTGTTTCCATGTTCTTCAGCATAATCTACAACTTTCAACTTAAAACCTACTTCATAACTCTCTTACTCATGGTTTAGAGTTTGCAATTATTAAAATTTATAAACTAACAGTACCAGTAAAAATCAGGGTGAATCAAGTTTTTGCATACTCGTAAATGACTACTCCACACCAAATAACTGTAAGCAAAATTGTGATTTGTTGTAATTATGTGGTATTTACTTATCAAGTGCAGGGCTGCTCTGTTTAAACAAAAATCTGGATACTGGTAATCACTTCAGTTCTAAAATCACTTGAAAATGATAATCTTTTGTTGTAAATCAGATTAATAAATAGTAAATAGGAGCAGTGCAGATTGAGTGCTTTTATTCAATGCGTGACGTGGAAGAGGCGTAAAATTTTAACATCAGGAAAAATTCCTTTTCTCTCTTGCTCTCCCTTATGCTCAAGCCCAGGGTACTCACCTGGGCTACTAATATGCCACAGTCTACTTCAGATTCTCTATCATGCTGAGTGGATAGGTTGCATCCCTGATTTTTATCAAAATTTTGGATGAAAAAAGTATGACCTACCTTTAAGTATATACAATAAATACACTCTTCTTCATGTTTAACTGTTGAGCTAATGCACTTAAATCATGAAATATGGTGATTAAGTATCTCTAGATCATCAACTATCTAATGTTGGAAGAAAGTCCTTAAAATGTAACCATGGTGATAACCATTCTACATACAATATACTCCTATAAAGTTTAGTGATCATTAGTAACAGTTAAAATATAGAGTTGCATTTACCTGCCCCATGATTTGTCCTTAACATCAAATCGTAGCAAGTCATTCAACATGGTTTTCCTGAAAAAAAAACAAATTCATTATATAAAATTAAAATACTTAAATGTATTTCAAAATAGAATAATTCTTGAACTACTTGAATACTGAAAAAACTATTTTTGTTTCAAATTACATTGAAATTGTTTTATATCTTGTTTAGACACTTTCATTCTTTAGAGCAAATGTTTGAGAATTCATTCATTTAATACAAACTGTTATATTCTGTGCTAATAGGAAGATATACTTGAAAACAAGGTGGATAAAATAAGTAATGGTTTATTGTAAAAAACCAGTACAATAAGAATAAAGGTAACAGTTATGCACAAGGTCGTCACAAGTCAATCCAGTAGTGAGTGCTACTATTGGAAGGTCGGTAGTTCTCACGTAAGTCTGAGTTATACCCAACATATCCCAGCTAGTCTCTGTAGTCCATTGACTTACAGATACTTATAGGTAGTTACTACCTATAATGTAGTCACTCATGGGGGTTACAGGTTATTCAATTACATCACAAACTAATAATACAGATAACTATGAGTAATTAATTCACTTTAGAGTTTCTATTCAGCAGAATGTGATTGTTAGAGAATTTAAGAAACAAAAATAACAAGCATTAAATGAACTTTTAATTTTTTAAAATATGAACTCTTTTTCAACATACATTTAAAATTGCAATATATATCTATCTCTTTAATATGGCACAACATAAAAACAAATTTTATGATCTGACATCTTTTGAATTAGCCACCATTATTATATTGAGCATGTACAAAAATACACTACATGTTTACATCATATATTTAAACAGCAGCAGGGTATTTTTATATATGGTATATATATATATATATATATATATATATATATATATATATATAAATATAGATAACTAGACTCGTTTCGAAAAACCCTCGAATTTTTGATTTGCTAATCAAATCAATTTCGAGGAAAAAAAAGTTTTAAAAAAAAAAAGAGCTACAAACATGAACTTCTGCCGACAAAAAAATCGCACAAATGCAGGTCTGAAGCCCAAAGAAAAAACCCCGATACGAGTAACAACTAACTAACAAAAGAGCTCAATACAACCGTAGAGCAGACCTAGATACACCTAGTGAGCCAGACAAACCTACCTAGGTTTCACCTAAACGGATCATCAGGAAAGTTTTTTTAAACTTTCCCTGACGATCCGTTTAGGTGAAACCTAGGTAGGTTTGTCTGGCTCACTAGGTGTATCTATATATATATATATATATATATATATATATATATATATATAGCTGCATTCAGTATAGTAAGTATATGTTAGTTTTTAGCTTTATGCTTTTTTTTTTTTAGCTTTTGTATTGCATGAAACAATAAAAAAAACCTTGTTTGGAAGCATTAATGATTGTTTTATTTCCTGTCTTAAGTTTTCTTCTACCTTTGATGAAACAGCAATATATATGTGGAATGAGCTGGCAAGACTGTGTTTACATAGGTTTTTTAGAGGTGATTTGTGTCATCTGGCATTTTCTATGATCCAGAAATAGCCCAGTCCCAAGGGTGCCAAATTAATGCAGTTGGACTGTAGTAATCTATAATTTAAAGAATTCATTTGACTATAGATTGATTTACATGGTTTCAAGCAGCTAGAAGTTTATATACATCTTTAGATTTTATATTATATTAAGTATATTAAAGTACTGAATACAATGACTAAGTAACATTACCTTAAGTTGACTAAATGCTTGAAAGAATAAAGTCAAAATGGTTAAAGATAAAAAATCTACGACTTCATTCAAAAAGCCGTACAATCCAATGGGCAAAATGTATAAAAAATCTATAAGAAACAGAACAATTTAGCAATTAGAACAGAAAAGACATTTAACTTACCCATTGTCTCCACCAAATACATATATTGCTTCATCAAAAGCAACCACAGTGTGTTTACTTCGTCTGAAAAGAAAAAAAAAACTTAACTTTAATTGAATTCTCATATTAAAATGTTTATTATCAACTTTTGGTTAATTTTAGCCAAGCCACATGCATTGAGGCAAATCACCCTCATTCCCTTCATATTCTATTAGTAAGAGATTCCACTCACAGTTTTTTCTATTTTGTGGAACTGACTGCCAAGAGAATGCTTTCCTGACCAATACAATTTAACCTGTTCAAGTCTAGATTTAACTTATCTTTCCCACATATTCTCATAAACTAACCCACTCACCTCTTATTCTTACCACTCACATAACCTCCTTCAGTAACCCTCTACCTTGACTGGCTTTTGTATAAGGTAAACATTAGTAAATAATATAACTTTTTTCATCTAAATTTTTCTTTTTCTGACTGTTAAAGTGAGTAATGTGTGGTAAGAATTTGGCCTACAGTACTGTGATAAAAACAATAAGAAAAAGATACAGAAGTTTAAATTACATTCTAACAATTTTAATTTTTTTACATCATTCCAGAATTTCTGAGGGCCACTACTGCTAATCAGTCATTAAATAGTTTTAAGAATATTTTTGCATATATACAACTTGTAATGACAAAAGTACACAGATGTAGGCTTTAAGAAAGCTTTATTCAACTGAGAATACAAGGTTCGCATATAGTGTCCTTTTATAGTCCCAGTAAACAGAAATAGCTCTCTTAAAGAGGAGAGTAACAAAACAAGAGGAGACCACACTTGATTATTCATAACACAACTATAATAATTTTATATTTCTAACCAGTCCTCAAACTGTAGATATTATCTTCAATCCAAATTTTTGTAATCCAAGTGAAAGTCAGTGAATATATAACTTTCTAATACTGTTACATAGATTTCAAATTAATGTATTAAATTTAATGTATGAAACTATGGTGTTAACTTCATTCTCTATTTCTAGTAATTTTTATATTGAAATTTAAAAATGTTTCCTTTAATTTAAAATACTTTATATAAGCAGGAAGTACAAAAAGCTCATTTGAAACCCGTGGATCAAGCCTTCTTACCAAAGAGGCTTAATTTCAAAATGTGGGAAGTTCTAGAAGCCAGCCATCAAGAGGTTACAATGAACAATGATAGTTTAGGCCAAATCACAGGTTAAGCACTCCCAGTAAGATATATTTTAAATATATACTTTTGTCCACAGCCTTTGGTAACAGTAAATACCCATATTTAGAAGTAGTATTTTTAATGTCAAACTTCCATTTATGCAATTATAATAAATCAAAAATAATTTCATTATAAAAAGTTTATTAAAAAGAAAATAGGAACTAAAATCTTTGATATTTTTATAAAGATAAAAATTTTATACATTATATAATTTAAAAAATAAATCAGCTATTTGATTCTTTCTTTCTTTTGCTATCTTCAATGTCACAAATCTTAAATTATTTTCATAATTACAGAATTCTGTTTAAAAAAATTTATTTTCACTTACAAAAAAAGCTTTAAAGCATTTTAAATCTCATTACTGCCAAAAGTTGAATATAGTCTTCATAGAAGCTTTACCATGGTGCAATGAGTTATCTCCTCAGTAAGAGCTCTGTACATGTGACCTTGTGCCAAATACTTAATAAAACTGTAGCTTACTCATTATCAGTCAAATATCTGAGATGAAGTATTGTAATTATTTACACTATTTATATTGCTTAGACTGTTGTCCTCATCTTTGTTGCCATATTCACGACATTTGGCCAATGTACACTCCAGACTTCTTCTGGCGATTGGAATTTCAAACTCAAGCCTTTATTTTGTCCACTGGGGTAAACTGTTCTAGCTCTACATGACATGCCTCTTCTGGATGTCTTAATTATCTCCCTTTAACTCAACTCTCCAAGTTTTTGTAGACCACTACAGTAGCCAGGTATTGAACTATCAACTCTTTGGGTCAAGTCACTAGATCTGACCAACAATTTTCTCCACTAATAAATTTTATGAATGGGATGCTGATATCTCTCATTGTTGTCATTATTTTCAATAAGTTCATTACTTCCAATGCTTTTATCCACTGATAAATTTTATCAGTGGATAAAACCATTGGTTGGATCCAGTGACTTGACCCAAAGAGTTGAAAGTTCAATTCCTGGCTGCTGCAGTGGTGAACAAAAACTTGGAGAGTTGAGTTAAAGGGAGATAACTAAAACATCAGTAAGAGGCATGGTACGTGGAACTAGAACAAGTAGACGAAATAAAGGCTTCAGTTCGAAATTCTAATCACCTTTTCTTAGCTGGTGCGTACAATGGCCAAAACATTGTAAATATGGCAACAGAGATGAGAACAGTCCAAACAATGTAAATAGTGTAAATTATTTAAACTATTTACATTACTCATTAAATACAAATTTATTTAGTATTTCTCATTAATTTTAGGAATTAAAACTCTCCTAGATATTTCAGATGGAATCTGTTACCAATTATTTTTGAATAAAAATATTTTTTTAAAGAAAAATAAAACCTTTCTTTTAAAATCCCTCCCTTATTTGTACACTTGAAGTCTTGTAAAATTGAATCTATGGTTGCATTGATTTCTCAGCTGTGATTTAAAGTAGTCATTTTGCTTGAAATGCAAAATAAAACTTACTTATTGTCAGTATGTTTCTGATTAAGCTTAAATGTTCAATATACAGAAAATCCTACACTAACATTTTTGTTAAATTTAATAATAAAATAATTTAAAAAAAAAAAAAAAAAAATTGCATTATTAGTCAAAAAAATATATTATTTTCTTTTTCCGCACTTAACAGTTTTGTTTGATTGTCTTTAAAAATCCCAAATTAATTCAAGCCTTAGGACTAGGAGTTAAAAAGCTGACGAACTCATGATCCAAGTTAATATTGTTAAGTTGATTTTATTTTTCACTCAAGCAAGCTGCAAGACCAAGTTAGTGGAATTTGTCAGTTTTACCATGTACATTGTACAAAAAATTAATTATTAAGGATTTTAGAACATTCTCACAGAGACACAAACCCATTTTAAAAATATTATTAACAAATTTAACTTTTATTGATTAATGAGCATTAAATAAATGAAATTGAAAACTGTCATTTATTGATTTGAACTTTTTTAAAGCGAAAGAAATTTGGTTCTTTGCAAATAAAAAAAAATTCTACCAACAACAAATTATTTGAATCAAACAAAACATTGTAGTGTACCCAGTGAAAAGAAAAAACATTTTAGAAAATATTTTTTCACACGGTAAAGATGAACTCGTTGAAAATAATGACAACATTGAGAGATATCGGTATTCCATTCATAAAAACGAGTTCGTTGTGTTTACAATAAACATAGTATTGTAAAGATAACCAAAATGAAATTTGTATTGCTGCTACTACTACTATACACACTGATCAGTACCTTACCATTTAAAGCAGAAATACTGAGAAAACGTGATACGGTTATCAATTTTTAGATAAATCTTATATATTAATTAGCGCTGAAATTATCAAATAAATAGTTACTCATAATAAGAAAATACATTATTTGAAAAGTAATGTGTACTGTAGTATAAAGTAAACATTGAGAAAACAAGTTAACATGGAAGACACGGAATGATGCTGATCGAACACAGTATATAGCTGTTTTTTTAAAAGCTTTTACATTGAACTCTTATTTTTCTTCTGATTTAGAAGGCAATAATGATATGAAGAAAAGTGGACAATTCGAACCTTGCACCAACAAATTCTGCACATTCTGGCATCTGTTTCCAACAATGCACTGACTCGAACGGACCGAAATCGAGTGTCAACCACTCAGCGCTCTCCGGACAGTTATGGTCGAATTCCTTCCCTGGGGGTCGTGCAATCGCCATCCTGTGAAACTATCGATGACACTGTTCCCCAGAAGTATCCAAATATCAAAATCTCATTACACTGTTTGAATATGAAAGCTAAAATAACATCAATTGATCTATCTATGCCATTATCTACTCCATATTGACAATCGTCTACCGTCTGCAGTTGTTTCCTCGCTTTCCATTGGCTAATACACAATCCGACATTTCCATTCATGATTTTATTCGGTAATTTTCGGCATTATTCGGTACATCACGAACTAGAGGTGTTTTCCTAAAACGAGTTTTCCTTTTTCTCCTTTTTATTCCAGTTCAATAAAAAAAAATATGGTATAGTTTAAAGAAAAATAGTTAATTTCTGGCTGCTATAATATTAATTAGCAAATATAACAAAATATAAAGCAGATATTTATTTATTTATTTATAAAGAAAAATGTACGTATTTTTTGTCAAAGATAATTTTAATTCTTTTTTATTTTTCATTATGTAGTGAGTCCCGATAAAAATAAAATATATAAACAAAAGATAAAAAGAATTCAAATTAAAATAAGGCATTTCCTTTATAACCTTATACGAATTTAAATCCTAAATATATTTTTCATCAACCAATAAAATCCCATAAAAAAGTTTGATAAACAATAATTACTAGGGCAAATACTGCCAAAATACTTGCAGATGTAGTTGAAGACCGATCACATGTTATTTTTTAACCATTTAGAAATTAACAATAACTCCTTTCACCACTCCCACATATTTGAGGAAAAAAATTTTGTGAGCCAGTGTGAAAATATTTTGTAACTAATGAAAACCTTGTATTTCACACCTCTATGTGAAATTAAATTTTGAATCCCCTTTACAGATAAAAAAACAGATGCGTACTGCTACACAAGGCTCAAAAACAATTACGGAGACCAGTTTGATCTACACATGCTTACACACACATGCACCCACACAGTGGAAGAGAGACAGCCAGCAGTCACTGTCAAAGCATACAATAGAAGGGATTAATCAGTAACCACCTACTAAGCTGACTGTCATAAAGTAAGTTTGTTCACACATTTGATACAGCACTATAAACACTTAATTACTTTATAAAACAAACTGCAAAGAAAATTGAACATTTTATTGCGATTGTATATTTCTCAAAAGAATATATAAATGTTATTTCAACTGACGTTCTACTTCTACTTTTTCTTCAGAAAATAACCTTTTTCATGATTCATTAAAAAAACGTTGTTATTAAATGTTTAGAATCCAGACACTCAGATAGCAACTAAAACCTGGGTAAATGTACCTTACAACCTTATCTCTCTATCCTTCTCTTTTTATAATTCTCTTTCAACTAATGAGAAGACAACCCTCAAATAAAATGAGGAAGAAGAAAAAAAAAATGAACTCTGCCAAAAAATGCTGGAACTTTTCAGGACCAGAGTCTACTAATTTGTGACTGAAAACTAACAAAAATCAAAGAGGCTCCACATGTTATAAAAATAATGAAATATAAATGAATGCTGGAAAATAGAAATAATTTTGGCCAATCAAAAAAATTAACACAAAGAGACTTTTGAAGTTAGCCAAAACCAAGGTTCATATCAGAGTCTCGGCACCGGGTCAAAAGGATATAAGCTCACACCTCTGAGTTAGGCAATAAGAAGGTATGGTGAGAGTAACAAGAGATGCAACCACCAGTGAAACAAGCCATGCATGATGTGTGAAGAAATAGTAAGTGGTCATCTGCTAATCATATTTCTGCCCTGTTTAGCACCAATAAAAACACAGTAGATTGACATTGACCTATTTCTAAAATGACTATGACTACTACCAAGTGCTGACTTCCAAACACTCAAATTCTGAGCCAAAACAAACTTTCTCCAAACTACTACTTTATAAACAAATATTTTGTTCCACCAATTATCAAAGGACTCACTTTAAAGCAAATAAATAAGAATATATTATATTCTTATACCTTATACCCTTCATCCAGTATGTTTTATGTCCTATGTTTCCAATACAATAAAAACCAAGAATATATGGCACAGCAACTATCTACAATTTTAATTTATAAAAAAATAATTGTTTTTCATTATAAAATGATGATAAGAGCAAGTGCTCTAAAAAATTTTCCCACATTTATCAATAAAAATCCCAAGCATATGAAAAATATAAATTGATTAATTTATCTATATATTTATTTATTTATATATAGAGATATATAAAATACTGCAGCTATAATTGGGTAATTATAATTTAAAGCTATTAGTATTAATTATATAAAGCTTGAACTAAGTAAATGAACTTTAAAAATTTTAGTATAAATATCATTATATGGAATTTTCAGATTACTGATTGTAATTCTTTACTATAAAGATTTAGATCTGCATGGAATGCACAAGTTATGATAATTTTATTTTAAATAAAATGAACAAGATACTGGGGGAAAAGGAAAATTCACCTAGAAACATTATTATCAGCTGATGTTTAATTTATTATGTAAATGCTACTGGTACCACATAATCTACAAATACCCGCTGCATGGTTAGGGCATTGGTGATTAAACTGGTTTCCCAATCAGGCTTGTACAATGGGTTAGACTAGACATTATAGCAATGTTTGCAGCCATGTGGACATGGTATCACTGGGCATTGATCAAACTAAACTGAAGTTAATAGCCAGAGTGGAGGGTTCCCCCCAATGGAATCAATGGCCACATGCTTATGACGAAAACAGGCCTTTAATTTGGAGAACATTGGTGATGGTTTGATCTTGAGAAGGATGAGTTCCAACAGGTCTTTGCCTAAAAGACATGCTACACATGAATGAATATCTCTTTGGCTTTCAATCCTTATATATGGAAGGAATTGGTCAGGTGCTCAGTTGTGCAGTGGCTCTACAACCACACCAGGTCACGGGAATGATGATGATTATGATGTTTTAATTTGATGCTATTAACAGTTACATCATAAATAATTCCAGCAATTTTAAATAACTATGAGTATGGCTTCTACAATTCATGTCAAATGTTAAAGAGAAAAACAATATGGCAAGAAGCAAATAAAGATGACAGGAAAAATAATATCAGAATGCAATTCCTCTTTAAATAAAAGAAAAATATTAAATTCTTAATGAATAATAATTATGCTTCCCTTTTAAAAGTAACACCCTTTCACTTTTGCATTAAGATATTTAGAAAGCTTTGCAAAAAGGATATTCCAAACAAATTTAAATTTAAAGTGAAAGACTTAAACTTAGCAACCACTCTTGCTTACATAGGGATGACTGAAAGGTCTTAATATAATAAGCAGAGGAATGGCTGTTAATGTATAATTAGTCTTTGACATTGAATTTGAATCTGTTTGAAAGGGCCTTTTTACAGAGATATCTAGACATCCTAATACAAAGGCTAGATCTTATGGTTACATGTAGTTCATCAGAACAATATATCATAAATATATTTATAGAAAAGGCACAGGGACACTACATTACATTGTTGGGAAAATGACTGAAGCCAAGATGCCAGGTCAGGACTGATAACATTGCAGATTCTTCTTTGAATTTTATCAAGAATCTCTAAATACATAGCAGAAGAACCAGACTAGATGTGACATCAATATTTAATGCATATATGAATGGTAGACTTATAAAGGTGTAGGATAGATTCTAGCAAGAGAAATTGTCTATCAACGGCCGAAACATTGTAATGAATATGGCGACAAAGATGAGGACAATAGTCTGAATAATGTAAATAATGTACATAATACGTTATCTCAGAAATATAGACAGACTCAGAAATTGTCTAGCATGACACAGTGAACCAACTTTCTTAGCAGTAGACCTTTCTTGATACATACATCCGAGCAGGGCTGTGCAAGGGTTTCTCCACCCCCACCATGAATCTATGATATGTCTCCCACATGACTGCATTTCAATTTTCATAAGGTAGAATTTATATAAAATACAAATATTATTGTAACATAATTTACAATAAGGATTATATGTAATACTAGCAGCATGGCCCGATGTTGCCCGTGCTTGATTCAAAAATCGTACAACTAATACAGCAATCACTATCACTTGACTTAAAATATTTTTGCCCTTCCTTGCCTTTAGAGGAGTGCCCTTTGCCGTGCTGATGTTGTTACATGCCTTACTTCTTGCCTATCTCACACTGCCAACTTTTTCTAAGCTCTATAGTAAACATTAAATCTGTTATGAAAAAAGAACTAAACAAAATAAACACAATACAATCAGCTTTAAAAAAACGGAAAAAACATTTTTAAGGGTTGACCGATTGTCGATTTTCACTCTGTTTGGTGGGCACTCAGAGTGGAAACTTCACATGATGACTCCTACTGGCCTCTTCATAAGTCCGCTCGGTTTTCACTAAAAACCGACATGCGGTTCAGACGCAATCTGGGCGTATCGGTTTTTGGGTTTTATCGATTTTCCGCGCTGTTTAGGAGTCCATGGTCATGAAACTTCTGGACAACACTTCTAATGGTAGACTATAAGAGGGTGTCAAATTTGATTGAAATGCAATCATTTCTTCTGTAAGCAGAATTTTTTCGATTATCGATTTTTTCAGAACCTGATTCCGAACTCAAAAATCAGGCTCCGTCATGCCCTTATGGCAGCCATTTGCAAACTTGTGTTGAAAACCGCATCGAAATCGGGTGAGAAATGCAGCCTGGGCGAGGTAACAACGCCCATGACAGACACACAGACAGACAACATGAGAAATGTAGATATGTAATATAGGTGAACAATTCAACTAGAAAAATTGAAAATAAATACACTGTATATAAATGCAAATTAGTGACATAATAGATCATTCCATCTTAAATAAATCAACAATGTTTTGCAGTAATTTTTAACTTCAACTTGAGATTTTTTGTTAAAAAGTTGAATAATTTTAACACATTCAATATTATAGATAAAAAATAGTGAACTTTATAGTGATTTTTGCATGAGTAAAACAATTTGAACCAAAAAAGACCCCAAAATTACATCGAAATCCACAA